CAACCAACAAACAAAAAAACAAAAAAACAAAAAGCCACACTCTTATGGTAGAAATCCTTGAAAAAGAAACCCAAACCAGCCAGGATTATATATCACGCTCAAAGTTACTGCAAACACACCCACAGGCAGTTCTGCTGCTACCTTTAAATGTACCAACATCCTCTTCATCTGTGAGGTACTTCTCCAGCCAAAGACCTGACTGGAGCTCTTTATCCCAGGGGCAGTAATCTCCCTCTGCCAGCAGGGGGAGACAGAGGCCCAAAAGAAAAAAGAAAAAAAAGCATACAGATACACACATACACGCGCACACAAACAACAAACAAACAAACACAGTGAACATAGGAGGAAGGAATGAAGAGGAGGGGATGGAAAAGGAGGAAAGAAGCAGAGGATGAGGAGAACAATGTTTGAGACAGCGACACTTCACATGAAACAAACTTTGATAAAAAGCAAGTGGAGTTCTGAACAGGCCAAATGGAGTCTGGACAGGGTGTTAACATACATTGAAGGAGACATACTAGATTTCCAGTTTTCACAGGAACCACACTGTAATCACACAGAGAGCGAAGGACTGATTTACCATCGCTTGACTCCTCATCATCTTCATCCTCCTCCTCCTCCTCCTCGTCCTCTTCCTCCTCATCCTCCCCTTCCCTGCTGACTGCGTCAGCCAGGGGCTCGCCCTCTCCCTCCTCGCCCTGGTCGCCCCTCAGTTTGGCGTGGAGCACTACAGCCTCCTTCCAGGGAACACCGCCAAGGTCTGAGGGGCTGGTAGGTTGCTGCTCCACCTCCACCTCCACCTCCTCCTGATCCTGATCCTCTTGCTCATCCTCCTCCTCCATGTCTGACTCTGAGCTACTGTTGGAAAACAGAGAAGTTGTCCCATTTAAGTGTTAGAACAACTGACAACACAAACTGTAAGTGAAGGAACTTCAACTTGTTCCAGAAGAATTTCTGACTTTCCGATTTCCAAGAGTCTGACTTTCCAATTTCTTAAATACTGGAAGAATTTGTATTTTCCTTTGGTTCTCCGAGAAACAATCCAACAAAGGCTCCAACGATCAATATTTCAGCCAATAACAGCATGCTTTAGAAAATCAACAACAGAGCTATGTAAAAATGTGTCTCAGTCATTTTCAGGCTCTTACCTGGATCCCAGATCAGCATCTGTGGCCTTGTCCAGCACACTGCTGAGGTTGTGCTCTGCCAATGTCTCCTCTGGAACCTCCTCCAGCTCCTCCTCCCTCTGCAGGGACAGACGGTAGTTCTCCAGCTCGATGCGTTCTGGAGTTCCCCGCAGACGTTTAGGTAGGCTGGGCTCTTGCAGGCCGTTGACCTCCGGCACTAGGGTCGAAGATTGAGCATAAGGTGAAGACCGCAGGTGAAATGATGACATCAGGGTGTTCAGCGGGTTGGAGGCAAGAAGACAGAGGGGAGAGGGAAAGAGAACAAAAAAAACACAACTGAGAATCAAGGAGGTGCAACAGTAGAGAGGAGAGGAGCAGAGAAGAACATAACCCTCTGCAGTGCAGGAGCCATGCAGGGCTGATTGAAAGGGCATGTTTAAGCCTAACTGTATTTATCTGTGTATGAAAGTTAACTGCACCAATACAAATCCACTATGTCACTATTTGTAAAAACTGCTGTGATTATGGCTGCAAATTCTGACAATGTTTGTGTATGAACATGTCAGACTAGAAGCATCAAATCCATCACACATCCAACAAGGAAACTAGCACATCTCCATCAACAGTTTGCGTTAAGTTACTTATTCCCATTACACCAAAGCAACTTTGTATTTTAAGGACAAACTGACAAGGACACACCAATTTAAGCTCTATAACTGAATTTATTGCATTAGATTATATTCCTACAGCAAATATTATCAACAAACACAAATAAGTTGTAACATTCTAAAATAGTTCTGTCCTTCTACAGTTATCGGTACAAGGTTGGTGCCTTGCCTTTTTCCCATCCTGAGAAGCAAATCTTAAAACTGTTTTTTTCCCCCCTGAAATTTGTCTGTCAAATTGATTTGTATATTAATTAATATGAATGGAATGGATCAAATTAAGTATTTATATTACACTTAATGTATTTCCACTCACTGAAGCAGAGATACAGGTCAGATCAGCATAAAATGACCGACAATTCCATAAACAATGAGTAAATCCTACTAAAAGAAGACAGGTGCGACAATGAATGTGTGATATTTGATACAGTAGTATACGTTGTGTTGTGTGGATGAGGAATGGGTTCAAACAGATGCAATGGTTTCCATTTTTTTCTCTAAACAAGGCAACATGGGTGAAAGTGCAAGACAACTGCGACGGAAAATCCCACTAATGAGTCCAAATTTTAGGTTTCACCTGCCAATCAATACCAACCCTGAAATTAAGGGGTTAAAGCGACCTATGACCTAACAAATGCAATTAGCACTGTTTGTGATTTTCTATATATATTTATCTTCAATATTTAAAATAATGAGCAATTAATTGTGTAATGGGAATGACTAAAATATTAGAATAGTGACAGAAAATGTTAGAATCTAATGAATAATATATATATATCATTTGGCTTCCTATTATCGTGTTAAAGTGATAAACTTCATCTAAACAATATCACATAAATTACTAACCCTAAACCAATGATATGATGTTTATCTTCAGGATATTGTAGTTTTATTTTTCCACATTGCCTATCTTTAGTAAATCTTTAATTTTGTTAATATCTACAATTAATGTTACATAAGTGTATTATATTACTTAATATCAATTAAGTATTTATCAGTAACATATTTAATTCATAATACTACACTTGCCACACAACGAAGCAGGCCTACACTTACTTAAATACCAATTATCCTTTTTCTGTGAATCTTACCAGCCTGTTCTGTTAAGCTCTTTCTAGTCTTGCTGATTTACCAATAATATGCAATGCACCTAATGTAGAAAAGAGCACTATATTGAGCAAACACAAGTGGGTCTCAGCAGCAGTCTGTCGGGGTGTGAGAGGTTGAGGGATGTAGGAGGGAGAGGGCAGCCGAGACGGTCTGACAAGAGGAGCGAAAACGAGAGAACCAATCACAGGCACTAATTCAAGCACTAGTAGAGCTCTCAGTTTTAAGCCGCTCTGATAGGAGGGGGAAAGGTAAAGCTCACAAAAGCACTCATACAGGCACTTCATCACAGTGTGGTGAGTTTCAGTAAGAGGGATACTGTAGGTGCAAAACAGCTTACAGAGAGAAAGAAACACATCACAAAGCAGGCTCTAAAAGAAACATCACACAGGAGGAGGTAGAGCTAAAAGAGAGCAGTCACAGGCCACTAGAGGTTACAGTCACAAAGGAATAAAGCTTGGCTCTTCGTTAAAACACAGGCAGGCAAACAATTAACTTAGGATACAGAAATGTATTGCTATATGCTTAATTTTAACTGATATCTTTAGTTAAGGAAGTTGGCACTGCCACATCTAACAATAAAATCAGAATAGGAAGCTGTACAAGAGAGTTAAACAAATGGTTAATATTGCTGCCTGGAGAGCTGACCAGAAGGAACTCTGTCAAACTCTTTTTTTAATTTCCAAGCCAAGGGAAATAAATTAATTTAAGATGCACCATTCATTTCTAAAATGATGCGGCCAGAGCACTGCTTAACTGCCTCGGCCAATCACAAGTCATAAAATGGCTTCTAACAGAAACAGAAAGAATGCTGCATCTTGAAGAAATAAATCAATCACTGAGACGAAGAATCACAAGATTTACATGAACACTCCGCAGGCTCAGTGAGTCAATACAATCAGCTAAATCTATACAATCCCACTGATATTAGTTAGCAAAGAGTAAAAGGAAGTAAGGAAGGGGGGAAAAGGAGGAACAAGAGAGTCATGCTAGAGGAGGTTGAGCAGGACATTGATGGTGAAACAGCAGAAGAGGTAGATGCAGTAGGTACACAGGAAGGGAGAGTCTAGGGGGTTGTGTGCCACCTGGTGGCAGGTCCAGGAGAGTGTGCGGCGGAGGGTACGCAGCGGGACTCCCACGCCCATGGCCAGACGGCAGGGCGCAGCCACCACAGCAAGAGAGGAAAGTAGGGTACCTGAGGGCTGGAGCTCGGCCGAGGGGGCTGCCGCTGCTGCCATCGCCCTTCCGGGGGCATCCACGGTCGCCGTTGGAGTTTGGGGCACCTGGTTCTCCTGCAAAGGTGGAAAGAAAGATGTCATGATGTCAAGACACACATGCTCTTGGAAGGTCCGAGCACAAAAATATAAATTCAAGAACTTTATTTGCCATTTGTGCTTGCACACATAGGAACTCATATGCGGTTGTTACTCAGAGTCAGGTCAAGTATATAAAAGAAAGACACACAAGGAAGACATATATCTATCTATAAAAACATATACATTTTAAATTGCACGAAACCCATTAAAAGTGTAAATTTGCATTGTGAATTTTGAATTGCACATGTATATTGCACAGGCAACAGTTCATTTTGTTTTGGCCCAGAGTCTCACTGTGGGTTAGGGTTAGGTTAAGGTTTAGAAGCAGCTCTTATGAAAGCCTGTTCTGTTCGTGATGCCGTTCTGTTTGAGCAGGGAGTCAGCTGCATGTAGTGTTCTGATGATTCTCTCTCTTTTTCTGACAGCGCTGTGTAGATTGTGTCACACAGAACCACAAATCATTTTCCAATAGAGCAGGTCTACACACACAGCAGAAATAATAATAAGTCAGAAGGTAAAAGGCAGAACAAGACGACATTTTATTAAAATCATTTAAAATAGATAAAAGTTACAGAGCTTCTGCTGTTCTGCTGGTTCTGCTGGTTCTGGTCCTGGTGAGGTCAGCGGGGCGTGTCTCCTGGCGGCGGGACTCAGAGCTTCAGTGCAGCTGCAGGCTCTTTAGATCCTTCAGCACCTGCAGACCAGAGCTCTGACGGGGCGCAGACAGACCCAAGGACCTCGGGAACGGAACCAGGACTAGGAGCAGGGGGAGGAGGGTCTGCCGGTCCTGCAGCTCGGTGTCTGAGACCGTCACGGTCACCGGTTTGTGAAACAGTGACTCCCGGCGCCCGTGCAGGGGCTGGCAGCCAGCACGGCACGGAACCCGTAGGCGTGGTCACCTTCCCCACGTGCGGCAGCGACATGGCGGCGCGCGTCGTGACGTCCACGTCCGTGGACTCTGACGCAGCGGCAACGTGGCGGGTCGTCTGATCCGCGGCGGAGGCGGAGCTGGAAGTGGCGGGGGCCGTGGGTGGGCGGGGTCCTGGGGGGGCTCGGCCCGGACTGTCGTCGTCCGACAGCAGTCTGGTCCAGTCTGGAGAACTCCGGTGGATCCGTGGAGAGAGGGACGGAGCGGACCTGCGGGACGGGATCAGAAGTCGGGATCCGCTCCGGAGTCAGAACCAGAGTCCGCGGGTTGATCCGGATTTAATGGCAGACATTCTCAGAGAGAGAGAGAAAGAGATTGATCAATAACTGATCAATACCTGATCAGTTTCAGAAGATATAATACATGTGAAACTGTTTGTACAAACAAATTAAACGTTGAATTTTATTTTCACTTCCTCCAATCAGCATCCAGGCAATCACAAGGTAGCCCCGCCCCTAAAGCATCCCCTGCTTTATGGTCTGTTTGACTCTAAATGGGACCATCAGTTACTAAATGAACATCATGCTATATGGAAGAAGACTGAAACTAGAGACTGAGACCAGAAACTCATCAGGAAACTGTTCACTGAACTCATAAATCAAATAAGAAGTCAGCTTATTCTCCATAAGACTGAATGGTATCGGTTGTTATTGCAACCAATGGAACTGGCTTCACTTCACAGACCCAGAAGCCCTGTCCATTATATATACTGTCAGACTCCTAAGTATGAAGTTATGGGCACTTGAACAGTAATTTAACAGATGGGTTTACATTTACATCAGGTGTCCACATGAGAATTGAAACAGGCTTTGCTTGCTGTAATAATTCCTCCTGTTCATACTGGACATTAACAGATCTTTTCTTAATGCTCTTTCTATGTAAGTAATAGGGGACAAACTCCACAGTCCTCACTTTGTGCAAAAATTTATTTCAAGGTCTGAAATTAATACAGTATGAGGCTTCGGGGCTTCAGTTCAGCAACTCATATTACAGACAGTGGACAGTGTTTCCCTGTTGGATAGAAACCGCAAAAAAATGTAACAAAAAAAAAACAACCTACAACAAAAATTGTGAACGCAACAAACACATTTCACCCATCTGTGATGCTGGATGTGGTCAGAAAAGGTCAGACAGGGCAGAAAAACAATGTTTTTCAGCCTGGTGTCCCCCTCCAGTCAAAAATCAGTTTTTCTTTTTTGTCCTCCAGTTGGATGTTTGAGCTTCACTGTGCAGAATGATGTATGTGCAGAGTTCGCTCCAGTATGCAACTTCAACAGCTTGATCCACCAGTGCACGGACGCTGAGGAGCACTATTTCTCAGAGATTACAGCAGTTTAATCCAGAGGTTTCCAAACTCCCACAATAGATTCACATTAGACCACGTACCCCCAGTTTCAGAGGATCTTCAGGGAATCTTCATGTTCAGGGAACAGCCAACCCTATTTCTTGTTGTTCCAACTTCCAATAAATGTGATTAAAGCTTAAATGTTCTATTCCTCCTCTTTCTGGGGACCCTACAACCCACTCAAGGTTTGAAAACCACTGGTTTAATCTACTCGATGAAGAAATCCTGCAACTATTCATCAACTAACAGTCTGTTTGAGTTGAGCTGTTGTCGCAAAGGCCTGAGTCAGATCCTCGAGAACAGCCTTAAAACATCTGCATGTCAAACATCCACGTCTCACGTCTCTGAATATCACTGGGTTGAATAATGGCACACTTCATCCTACATGAATCACCACACAGTACCTGAATGGCTGTAAGGAGGGTGGGGGAAACAGTGGTTACATTTAGTCTAATGTTTGACTGAGGTGAATTCATTTTCGTTTGGCCTTCGGACGGTCTGAGAATTGTGAGGGCACGTAGGCTGATGAACACAACACGGATGGTTCAAATTCAAAATACCATCAAAGTGTCTCCGTTTTAGAATCAGACAAAGAGCACAGTAACACAAAAACCTGAGAGGAGGAAGACTAAAAATGCGACTATTTTTCAAGTAGAGCGTGACATTGATTGGTGATTCACACAGTGAAATCTTGTTTTTTTGGACAGCCATTAGTTTAAGTTGTTGACAACAGTTTATGTGAAGAAGGGTGTAAAAAATGACGCTGGGCAAGTCCCCTTCAGCAGCAGACTCTCTAAACCTGTTTCAGTCTGCATTCTGTGTAGAACATTATTCCTCAGCCTATAGTGCACATTTAAACAGCTGCATTTGCAGAATTCCTTGAATGTCGTGGGACAAGTTATCTCACTAATACAGCAGTCTACTCTTTGAGGTTAGGTTTTGCTGTTTTGTAACATAGTGTGTTTACATGGATGATGGATGCTTTTCACTCACCCACTGCCCTCATCAGGCCTCTCTGTCCTGCAAGGCAGAAATGCTTTCTCAGCTCCTGCACGCTGCGTTCCCCCTAAAAAAAAAGCTATTACTTCATTGTCCTTGATACCAAGAGGGAGCTGCAAAACAGGAAAAGCGTAGGTTTTCTTGGGGGCTAATTATACATTAAGTTCAAGCTAAATGGCCCCAGGAGCCAAAGACATTACAGACTACAAGGGGTTATAGGAGGCAGGGTGGACTGCATTCTGCCTCTAGAACGACTTTAATGTTGCATCTTGAAATATAGATTTTTTTCCCACCCTCACTGTCTCTTGTGATAAAGCCTCAAGAAAGCAATCCAGTCGGTAAGAGACAGCAGTTTTCTGATTCCCCAAAAAGTTGCAAACTTTCTCTGACAGCTGTTAAGAAGTGAAGGTTGTCCAAATTAGAAATGTCAGGGCAACTGCGTGTCCACTGGTGGCTGCCCTGGTTATTGTGGTTGTACTGTACGCTGATGCAATGTTTTGATTTACGGTCACTATGATCACCATGCAGCTCAGGGTCATTTCATCATGTGGCTGCTCCACTGTCAAACTGGCCACCGTCTCTTATTACTGCACTCACAGAACAAAACGCTACAGAAAGTTAGACATTCAACAATATCCTACTTGACATATTTACTCCAATACCTGTCACAGAATATTATGATCTCTTAGATATGGACAGTGTGAAGACCCTTTGGGGTTCTTTTAGGACATAGTCAACAAATCTCATTAAAAATGTCAGGGTGCGTACTACAGGGGAGCCAGCGGGAGCGGGGCTCCTCTTAATAAGACATGAGAAAACAGGATGCGTGAAAATCTAGGAGGTCTGATTACTTTCTGGAAATTTGAGATGCATGTTGAGATGTTTTTAGGCATTTTTATTTATTTTTTGCAGGAGAAAGTGAAATAATTCATAAAAAATTAAAGGCAACTTGTTCCAGTGGGACAGGGATCGGTTGAATTTGCGTTAATTGTTGGGACTGCTGTTTCTATTTTTGGATTATATAAAACAAAAAAATACCTGCCATCACCACTGAAGTATGACAGCCCAATATCATTGACTTCAGATCAGAAAATATATCTGCGACAGTAGAAAAAGTGAGCTCCCCCGAAAGCCGAGGTATAGTTCACATACCAAAAAAATAGAAAGTATGTGTATCCAAAGAACTACAAATGTGTTTTAATCCGCAGCTGAAAGTAGTTCCAAACAAATGCACTACTTACTCCCTTTCTATTGACCACCTGTTTTAAAAAATGACTGAGGTTTTCAAAAAAAACTATATATTTGTGACCAGTTTTTAAAGATTTACGTCTCCAGAAGAACAAGTGGCCAAAGGACTGAGTGCCACAGACAGGGTGGGGAAGTAGGAAAGCACAAAGCAGTCTCACTCCCAAATCATAAAATACTGCAGCTTGGTCAGTGGCCCTCTGTGTTAAAATAAACCATAACACGATAATTAGAATTAATTACAATACCTCACAAATGATGCCATTAATTAAGATAAACTATGGGAGTCTGGAGGTCTGGCCAAAAAGAAAAAACAGGTGTAGGACGTTTGACCGTTGGACCCAGAACTTCCCCACTGATCACTGTAACTAAACTAAGAAACAAAGAGGCAAAAACTGGACTTCATCCTCAAAGAATAAAACACAAAAAGGAAGCAGCCAAAGAAGCTTTCACTGATTA